ATTTTCTTCGTCAGAGAAGTCTTATTTACTATTAAAATAAAAGATATTCCATTCATTGAGATCTTACCTTCATAATAGTCATTGTAAGTCAAATCATCAATTACATCGATTAGTTCATCCATAGATATATCAGATTCTTTATCTAATTCAATAGAAGAACTATTATAAAAAGTAATTGGAATAGAGGCAGATTTCGTAAGATATCTGAACTTCACTTTTCTTTCATTAAAGTCAAGAATGGCTTTAGTTCTTTTAAACTAATCAGTTTCTAATAATAAGTTTTTGTCATGGAACTCAATGACTTGTAGAGTTATTAGCATACGAATATATCTAATGGTTATTTTGACGGTATGGAACTTTTCTAAAGCTCTAGCTCTTTTTCCATTGGCAGTATTAATAATTATTTTTGATAGTTTATCAATCTTTAATTTAAGTCATTTGACTAAACTACTTGTGATAATACTGATAGCTGCACCAGAGTCAAGGATAACTTGCATATTGTTATGATGAATTTGAATAGTACATCTGACTGCAGTTGTAGGAGTATTATCATTATCACTCATATATTCGTCATCAAGGTCAACATCATTGGTTTCTTTAATGATAGCTCTTTTTAAAGCATTAGCTAAGTTTCTTCTTTGATCTAGGTATTTTAACCATTGCCCAAGTTTCACAGATGAAGGTAAGTTTAGAATATCTTCAGCGATATTATAAGAAGCTAATTGGTCAATAGCAGAGGGAATGCATGGTATTTTTCTTCAAAGTTTCTTAACCTTTGAAGTTGAACTTTCTTCTTCAATATTTATCGGAGTGGTAAGAGAAATTGGTTTACTTATATTTCTATTTCTTAATCTCATTTCTTGTTGAGATTCAGATATCCTTTTACTTTTCTCTTTAGCATCCCTCCTATTAGTAGTACATGAAGTGACTTTTACTCTTAGAGTAGCATAAACTTCTTCATAATTTTCTTCTTCATCTTCTAAATCAAGGTCAGAATAAACTTCGATCATATTTGCATCCTTTCTCTTTTTAGGGAGCAAATCACATTCTCTAGAGTAGTAACCTTTCTTTTGACAATTAAAACAAGTAATTTGGAATTTATCTGGTTTTGTTCTGTGACTTTAGGTCTCGTCTGAGTTTGAACATTTAAAGCTGAAACTATATTAGCATAGTTAAGAGTTAACTTTTCCATTTGTTTAGTTAAAGCTTCAAGAGCATCATCAGTAGGAGCTCTAGCCTTTCGATCTACTTAACGTTTCTATCTTTCAGCTTGTCTTTCAAAATAAACTCTAGCTTTATAATTGATAGCTTTTGAATTGCTTCATTAATATCTGCAGGTTTACAAGCAGCAATATATCGCACTAAATCCTTTTTCAATCCCTTTAAAAATAATCTAATGACATATAGTTCAGGTAGATTACTATTAGGATCTACTTTTTTTCTTAATCTCTTAAATCTACTAGAGTATAATTCTACTTTTTCATCCCTTTCTTGAAGAATATCATTGAGTTCATAATGCTATTTATTTTATTATTTAATTATAAAGAAATGGTTTACAAATTTAAACACAAAGGTTTTAGCACCATCTTTATCATCTGTAACTCTTTAACCTTGAGCAAATATAGTATTCTCGTACCAATCAGCGGTTACATGATTGAAGAATCCTCTAGCAATTTTAACCATTTGTTTATTATTCCAGTTGTTAGCTTTCGCAGCTTTCTCAAAATGAGCAATCCAATCAGATGAGTCATTTTCACTTTTTCCTGAGAAGCGTTTTACTGGAACTAAATTAGTTTCTCTCTTTAGTAGCTAGTATGGAGGTCTGTTTTGAACTTCCTGAGTAAGTTAATTGATAAAAGTTATGAGCTGGATGATGAAGGTATTAAATTGGTCTGCGTCTATTATGTTTCTTTTTGAGAGTTCTAATGAGAAGGATACTAAAGGTTGTAATTCAGTTGCTATAGGGTGTTCAAAGTTGACTGAATAATAAGATTCTTCTAATATACGAATAGCAATAAAGTCAAAATCAAATCTGAAGTCAAAAGGGTTAATAAAGGTTAAAACTATATAACAATAATTTGGCTTCTCTTTTTAGAGTTTTAATGAGTTGTAATTCACTAAAATATTGTCAATACTGATCAAACAAAGTTACTGTTTTTCCAGTATATACAAGAACACCAAATTCAGTGCCAATCCAATTCCAAAAATGTTTGAATAGTAAAGATACTTCTTCTGAAGGTGGATAGCAAATTATACAAGTGTAGTCAGTTGATAAGTAACTTCTGTTTTCAGAGTGTTGTTGAATATGATTTCATTGTAATGTGAGGTAAAGATCAAAATTCATCCACTAAAAAGCTAGAAGTCCTGGCAGGAATCACCATTTTTGTTAACTTGGTATCTGTAAACTTAAACGATAAACTTTTAATTCAATATGGTGAATTTAATACAAGATAATATCACAATCACACCTATATGAAGATACGACAAAAGGCAATAGTAAATGAATTTAATGATTCCTTTATTGAACTTTTGGTTCATCCTAAAATTTAACTTGAATTACTTTTTGACTCAAGGGAAAAATACAAGATATTTATATAAAATAAAATATATAAAATCAACTATAATAAATATAATAAAGAGAACAAATAATATAACTATAATAAATATAATATATATAATAAATAAGATATAATTAATAAATATAATCTATTTATCTAATATGTTCACTTGATCAACGTTAATAACTTTAGCAACTCTGTCAACTTCGTCAACTATGTTGATCATTTAGATCACATGACTTTATTTTAGCATAGTTACAGATCACGGCTTCAGTGTCATTTCCTTCTATGCTATTTTCTGATAAAGAGATATGCCATTAGATTTTCTTTTCTTCTGATTCATCAAATTTTCATCAGTTTGTATAGAAATCATGTAAGTTTTCACAATTTTGTCAGAATCTTCATTATTATCAGAATCAATTCTGGATAAAGCATTAGCATTTGCATTATTTTTTCCTAAATGGTGTTGAACTTGAAATGTATATTGCTGAAGATTTAATAACCATTTAGCTCTTTTAGTTCAATTTTTCATAGTTGAAATTTATAACCATTTCAATGCTACATTATCAGTTACTAAGATAAAGGGATTTAAAAAAGTATAGTGATGAAAATACTCAACTGCCCAATTGATTGTTAGACATTCTAATTCTTGAGCACTATAATTTTGTTCATGAATATTAAAGGTTCTACTTGCATAAACAATTACTTTCTCTTTTTCTTGATCGTTCTTTTGTACAAGCACAGTTTCTAATCCAATTCTTGAGACGTAAGTGAAGAGATAAAACATTTTATCAAAATCTGAATATCTTAATATTAAAGCTTGCGTCAGTTTTCTTTCAAGATTTCAAATGCATTTTGATATTCATTGGTCCAATCATAATCAACTCCTTTCTTCATCAAGTTATTCAGAGGTTTGGCAATTTTTGAGAAATCCTTGATAAATTTTCTGTAATATGATGCCAATCCAAGAAATCCTTTAATTTGTCTCACATTCTTTGTCACAGGAAATTCTTGAACTTTCTCTATTTCTGAGAGTTTGTTAAGATTTCATATATATGTGACCTATCCAACGTCTGAAGGAGTGTGACAGATATTCGACTTCATTTAATATGACTGCAGCATATTAACATTTCTGCCTTCTTCTTTCTACTATACTGTAGATTTTCAAAATGTGAGTTTTCCTTGTTTAGAACTGGTTATTACAGCCTCTATTGTTTTGTATCGATATGTAGCCATTTAGAATATCATTGGATTCATTAAACTAACTTTTATGTGAACTGATACTCGCTGGTTGAAGATGCCTAACTTTATATTTCTAATGTTTATCCTTTCTTTATTTAGGCTACAGGTTCTCATCAAGAAGTCCAAGAAGAAACTCGTCAAGAAAATTTGAAATTATGTCAAGAGATTTTAGGCTTGAGAGAACAACTTTTCAATTCATCTTCTCAAATTTCTGAAATTTTTGCAAAATGTAATCTTTTAGAAACAAAGCTAATTGAACTTTCTTCTTATTTACATCATCAAGATAATAGGTTTAATCATGTCAAAGAAGCATATAATCGACATAAAGAAGAATTATGTTTTCTTCAAAAGAATGGTCGTTTACAAGATCAAGAAAGAATTCAAACATTAAATCAATCGATTAAGCAACTCAATAGTAATTACAATTATGTACTTGATCAGCTTTATACAGAAAATTTGTTAAAATAAATTATTTTTCTTTTTCTTTTTCTTTCTTTCTTTTTATTTGATATACTGTATTTTGACAATTATTTAAATAAAATTTTGCATATTATTACATTTTGTCTTTTATAAAATTGTCTAATATTATTTTAAGAGCTGCCAATCATACTGTTGACACTTTTACTTTCACTCTTATTTTCTTTTTTTAAATGAATTAAAATAATGATTATTATCCTATTCGTTGATGTTATACTATTTATTTTATCATGTGATCAAAAACTATCACATTTGCTTATAACTAACCACTTTCTATCCATTTCAGTTAATCTATTAAATGAGAATTAAAGATTATCCTAATGGAAATTCAAAACAATCTTTTGGTTTAAAATCTACACCCATTGTACCTGTAAAATTAAAAATTAAATTTAATAAATAGAATTTCTTATTTTAACAAAACAGAAAGATTTACGATAATTTTATAAACCTTTAAGGATCTTACTTTCATTCGAATATCTCAAAAGGTTCTTGCAGCTGCTGCTTGTATTTCTAATTTTACAAATCTATAATTTTATCATTATATTAAAAGTAACTTTCAATTAAATTAAATTTATATTGTAAATCCTTTCTGATGCTTTGATTTTCATATACAACACAAACATTGCTATCATTTGGTAATTGCTGAAACAGTTGAGGCGGCAGTATTTATAAAGGTTAATTTAGATAAATCTGTTATTGATTTAGATAGTTTTTTAGGATGATTTATCTGAGTAGTTGAGAAATATGATGCATAGGAGAAGGTAATTGATATCCTAGAAGAGGTAATTGTTGTCCAGATTGTGATTCTGAAACATTATATATTATAAATGATAGTTGACCTTGTGGTATTATTAGATGACCTAGTAATGGTTGAACTGGAGGAAGTTGTGATAGGTGGCCAAAGTTTATATATACAGTATATTATAAAATCTTAGATAAAACTAAAAGCAATTTAGTATGAAAATCAGGTCTAGATCTAATATGATCTAGACTCCTAAGGCCCAGTTTAAGAATTAAATCAGTGATTTATCAAAACAGAATTTCTAAATATAATATTGATTGATATTCTAAAAGTTTATGAAAATTGGCCGATTATTCTAAAATTTAAATTATAATTTTTTTTCTTTTTTATATTCTTTTTCTTTCTCTTCTCTCTTTTCTTTCCCTCTTTTCTTCCTTTCTCTCTTTCTCTTCTTCTCCATCCTCCATTTTTCTTTTTTGTAGAAACCTTGATTTTAAATTTTCTTGAAGATATATTTCTCGGTAAGTTTTAGGCAAGTGAAGCTATTTATTAAGAAAGAAAGAATATTATTAACATTCTATTTCTTTCTTTTTTTTTTTTTTGTAGAAACAGGAAAATTTGGATCTTGTAACCTCTTATATTGACTCTTAAATGTAGGTTTAAATAGGTGGGTTATTTTTTGATAAGAGTACTTTTAATATTTTTTTTGTTTCTTTTTTATAAAAACAACTTTCAAAACCATTAGGATAATGGAATTTTTCTTGAATCTTGAAAGGTAGATTTTGAATGGGATGAGATTCTTCTTTAAGAAAGAACTTTTCTAATGTTCTTTTTTCTTTTTTTTGTAAAAATAGCTTCTGTGAATTTTTAGATTATGAGATATCTCTTGAATCAATGCTTAACCTTATTACTTATCTATTCACAAATTTATTTCATTAATTATATAATTAAAAAAATCATAATAGTATTTATAAATATCTCAATATTTATTTAACAATAGATTGGTTAGTAATGTATAAATTTTTTAAATACATTATAAATAATAAACAAATTATTCAAATATTATATTTCTTATTATTACCAATATTTAATTTATTGTAGCATTAGCTGATATACATTATCACTTTTGATTCTCTTTAATTTTTTATTATACTAACTGACTTTCTGAATACTTATTAGTAAAAATTATATTTATCATCATTTAATTATAAAATTAATATATATAAAAAAAGCCTAATTTTAAATATAATTTAAAAAAAACTGCTTTATAAAAAGTTTTGTGGATTCTTAAACTAATTTCTGCAAAGAAAAAAATTTATAAAATCATTAAAGTTTCTTATGAAAATAATTGGTATGATCAGTGAAATATTCTAAAATCAATTTCAAATTTAAAAATACTTCTGAAAGAATTGTAAATCAATTTATTTTTTTATAAAGAAGGTCCAATATTGACCTAATTATATCAAGGTATTACTTTATTTAAACTTTAATTTTATTAATAATTAACAATAAACAAAATAGTATATTTTATTATCTATTATTGTTCTGTCTTCTTAGCTCAGACAATTTCTTTTTTTAAAGCTATTTTTTGCTTTAATAATTCAAGAGCCCGTTTCTCCTATTCTAATCATTTTTGTCTTGTTTTAATATCATTTATTTGTACAATTTCATTTGAATTATTTTTATTTTTTTGCTTTTTAAGCAATCTAGCTGCTAAATTGCTAGTAGAAGCTATGATTTCTGGTTCTTTTTCTTTTTGTTTTTCTAAAATTATATGTAATAAATTATTCTTTATTAAGCATATAATCATTAATTAAAATATTAAATTAATTAACTTACTTGAACGTTTAGCAGCTTCTTTATATCTATTAACCTGTGATTTATTTACACCACTAGCTGATATATTATATTTTGCAAAATTTAATGTTGCATCTCATTCACTATAATCAAATTCTTCACTCTAAGTATAAAATAAATGATTTTATAAAAATATATAATAAACTAAACTTACTTTTTAATAGCAGCTAATAAAGATAAATGAGTTCAGTCTAGTGTTCCGTACGGGTCAGGTTAGGTCTAGTTTGAGGGGATATTCGAACTCAACTCGAATATTCATGTAACCTGACTCGAATTTTCAGGTTAATCAACTATGTAACCTGAACTCGACTCAACCCGACTGTAATTTGATTCGAATAACCCAAATTAAACCAAATTTATATGAATTTTATTAAGTTTAGCAAAACAATAGTAAAATTAATTGACAAGTTATATTTTAATAATGTTTTTTATTTATTCAATTAAAATTGACCAGTCTAAATCACTTTCATGTCTACCAAGATTTCAAACACATACACGCACGAATAGTATGTGTTTTAAGGCTGCTTCTTTTTGTTGCTACTAAATCAGCT